ACCTGTTTCCAATTATATGCATTGCACTTCATTTCACAGAAGAGAAACCGATGCCTTCTGCAAACTACTTAGAGTCTGGTAGTGAGCTGAAAATCAAAATAGARATCGCTTACCCGTTAAATAGAGACGCCGAACAGATTGACAGTACATCAGAGAAAAACGTATCACCAGAGGTAAGAAAATTGGTGATTTACCATCGCTGTCATTGTCATCATAGTCATTGTACTGTGTCATAATTTTCATTTCATTTCATCATCATCATCATCATCGTTCATCAAATGATTAGACCAACACTGAATCAGATGAGAACGAAACTCGTCAGGTGAGCAACATCACGTGATAGCATCATTAACCTCAGTATCAGGCTCTCGAGGGGGAAATATGGCCTGGTACACAGGTTATAGCATCATAATCCATGWTTTCAGTATCATTCTAATACCATATTCACTCATTGGGATGATGTAAGCAAAACTATGGATATCAAAGGTCACTGGATCGCTTGTTATAGTTATAGAACATGTTAAGGTCGTTTTAAGCCAATAGAATATCGTTTGATTTTCTTCAGTGTCCATTTGGCCGCATCGTGTACATCTTCCAGTACACAAACAGTGCGTTCCTACGTCRAATACAGTCAGAAATCACAGCCATCAATGCCGAGGCGCTGGAGCTCGAAAACCTCCCGAAACATGTCATCGATGCGGCTCTTTCTACTTATAAACTCTCCGAAGAACAACGAAAGAGCAAAACATTGAATATTATTACAGGATTTCAGGTAATTTTWCAACTAATTTTGTTTCAATGTATTCACATTTTTACGAGGTCAAAAAATCCAGCGGACGATTTAGGTATCGTCATCATCTTCAGATAATTAACGGTTTTCACATTTTAGTTACGCCATTTTGAGATTTCCTTTACATCGAAGTTTCGGAGCTTGAAAGGATAACGGGAAAATAAAGGTATCTATCCGATTTCAAGCTCGTTGCTGAAGAGTCTAACTTCGATGCCAAGGCACTTACTTTCAAGATGGCGGAGTGAACCGTGAGGAAGACTTTTGTTGAGCCGCAACTCCTTTTTTCATCGCCAATTTTCTTCACTTTCTTCCTGTGCGCCTCTCATCGAATGTCGGTTCATAATAAAGTTTGCTGTGTTCTTCTAGGTTCTGGATGGTGAATACCACATGTTTGTGTTAGAAGGCATTTCTAATGAAGGCATACTTCGATTATGGACGCGTTTACCAAGGCCACCCGAATCAGGTATGTCAAGTATAAACTGATTGACTGTGTATAATCCTTTTCTGCCCGGTTATAACGGTCACCCTTTTATACGACCCCTTTTTGGTGTCCATTCAGTGGCCGGAATAACGATTAGAATTAAATCAATATTCTTACCATCGTCACGTACTGATATCTCTTTTCAGATTTAACCAAGTTCAACGTGTTGTATAACTCAGAGATGCTGTTCTCTGATCGATTGTATGCGTCGTTGGATGTGGACCTATGCCGTGTGCGTCTACATGAACCTCTCAATATTATCGTCCAAAACCCTCTATTGTACGTCAGAGACCTGGTGCCGAAGCCATGCTTCTCAGCACTCAGTAAGCTTGATAAGGTATGTTGATAAACCTGCAAAACTACCTCTGGTTAAACAGGCATTCAATTTGAGCACTAATATAAAATGGAGTACACTTGAACCTCTATTAAGCGGTCACCTTCGGGAAAGAACAGGTGCCCGTTTAATAGAGGTTGCCCGTTTAATAGAGGTTGGCCGTTTAATAGAGGATGACCGTTTAATAGAGGAT